AATATAAAGTAAAAATTATAATTAAAATTATTTCAAATGTTGGACACTATAACAAATCTGAATACATTATGCTACCAAGAAATAAGAGCCTTTGGAAAAAATTTATAAAAAAAAATTAATATTTTATATTTTTGAGAAATATTTTAATTTTAATAATTTAAATTTAAGAACAAAGTGTTAAGTGGACAAATGGGTTAACTAACATTTGCATCTTAACAATTTTTTTTTTTTATTAACAAATTGTAAAAATGCACTGTAAATCTCGTCTTCGATTAAGTTTCTATAGCTATAAGAGTAATCTCAATTGAATATATTTGAAATTTAATTATGTTCTGTTCGAGCAGCTCGATTTTCGCCAAAATGTCACTTAATCCCTTTGTCCACTTACCTCTTCATAATGATCTCAACTGGAGTTTTATACCTGAATTCACAAATTAAATTTAATTTCAAATTAAAATTAATTTATTTTTAATAATTATATTTTCGCTCAAACTTTTATATAAAATTATAAATTAAGAAATTTAAAAAAAAAAATATTTTTTTTTAATTTTGTAATTTCAAAAATTTTTTAAAATGGGTGTGACACTCTACAAAATTTATTTTTTAATAACGAAAATTACACTTAATAATTTGTTAAATTTTGAATTTTCTAAAAATTTTTAAAATTTTAAAAGCTTTTCATTTAATATTCACCTTTTTATTGTACACGGATTTTTATTTTTTTTTTCCTTTATATTTTCCTTACAATAAATTAAAATTTAAAATCACAGTTTAATGTAAAAGAACAACAAACAAAAAGGATATGTAAAATTAATTAAAAACTAGATATAGAAGAAAAAAAAGTAAAAATAAAAATTACTATTAAAAATAAAATTAAAATTAAAATAAAAAAGTTTATAAAAATTTTAGATTTTAGAATTAAAAAAATTAAAAAAAAAAATTATATTTTTAATTTATATTAAATTTTATAATTTATTATTTTATTAATTTAAATTATTTATTCTTCTAAATTTTCCTTTTATTTAACCCTTAACGTTGAAAAGAATTCAGTGAACTAACGTTGAGCTTAGAAATGTTGGTCCTTTTAAAGATCATCGTTGGTCTAGATTTCTCATTTTGATTTGTTTTTTTTTTATTGTTTATTGTTGGCATGCGCAACATGGGCTTATGGGTCGTGATTATTCTTTCATTATAAAAAGAAATGTACATAGATAAATATGGAAGATATATATATATGTATCCGACTTAATACAAATAATTTATATACATTTGCATATATATCGTGTATATATGTATATATATCACCTTTATATCTACAATATATATATATATTGTAAAGAAACATCAATTCATAAGAATATATTCTAAAAGGAGGTTTTAAAAAATTATTTTCAATAATAATTTTTTTTTTTTTTTAATTTTTTGTCATAATTTTTTTTTTGCTATATTAATTATATTTTATGCCAATTATCAATAAACTTCACCATATAATAAAATTAATATAAATTTTTAATGTGTTATACATATATATATTTTTACAAATTCAAATATTTCAACTATTATAAAGGTAATTTGCGTAATTTTAAAAAAAAGATTTAACCTTTCTATAACATTTCTCACATTAGTATTTAAATTTTGGTTTTTTTTATTTATATTATATGTAAAAAAATATGTGAATGTGTGAATATAAATAAACATTTTTTTGTCCTTAATATCAAGTATTTTTCGTCAATTAAATTTTCTAATGAAAGTCAAAAAATTTTTGTTTATCCAACTATTATATTCTATAATATAACAATATTTTCTAAAATATAACAATTTTCTATAATATAATAAAACATTTTTGCATAAATTTTCAGTGAACTTTTATACACATTTCAATTGGCATGCTAACGCTTTAAAAATAATTATGTAATATAATTATAATGTGATTTTTATTAATTTTTATAAAATAAAAATGTAAAATTAAATAAAAAAAATATTAATTATATTTAAATAAAATCAAGGTAAAACACGGTGTATGTGTATTAGCACATAAGGCTTTGAAATGCATACACAAATGTTTGCACGGGTGTGTGTATATACATATACAATATAATATAAAAATTTATTTGTTCATATACTTTTATATAAATTATGTTAAATATTTTAATCTTATGCGCAATAAATATATATATATATATATATATATATATATATATATATATATATATATAGATGTATATGTATATACATATATGTAAGTATATAATAAAGGTTTAATATAAAAGATTAAATTATACTTGCAAATTTTTACTATAAATTGTTATGATTAAAATTATAGTAAAATCTTACACGCTCATAGATGTTTATAGTAATTTTTACTACATACCATTATATATATACAAGACCATTATATATATACAAGATTTTTATAATAATGTACATAATATTTTGAATGAAAGATATGTCGATCCTCTGTATGCATAAATTATAAAAGTTTTAAATATAATATGTAATGAACACATATATATGTATAATGGTATATAAATGTTAAATATAAAAAAATTTGTAAATATAAAATAGAAATTAATAAATTGTGAAATTAAAATATAATTACAACCATTGTAAAAGTTTATTCCAATTGTGTACGAAAACGGATGGTCTGCAAATAATATTATTAAATATATTTAGTTTAATAATCAAATGTATTTAAAAAAAATTTGACCATACATATATGCAAATATGATATAATGCAAATTTTTATATTATATACATAACGTTGCACGCACAATTAGTTTAAAAAGGAAGTTATCAAATTTGTCCCTAACTTAAAGTAATCTTTAGCAATTAATTTTTATTTGTGTTTAGTGGACAGATTTTAAAATAAATTTTGACTAGGAAATGCAAAAAATGGAAGAATAGAACAGAATAGAAAATAACCGAAAATATTTATATACCCTAAAAATATGCAAATTAATTCAACCTTGATTGAAAATTATTATTATTAGTTATCTATAGTCATGGAACCCAAATAACGAAAAACATAATTTCAATTTTATATAGATAATTCATTTATATTTAATCATTAGTTTATATATTAAATTAAATTTTAAACTTTTTTTTTTGTAATTTTAGATAATTGCGGTAAAATTATAAATAAAATAAAATATATTGTATAACACTTAATTATTTTATTATTTTCCAATTAAAAAATTTTTTATAATTCACAATATAATAAATACTCTTCATATACACATGTAAATTTATCATCATATATGTATGTATATATAAATTGAAGAAATTTAATATGTATAACATATGCATATAATTATAAAAATAATAATAATTTTAAAGTGTTTTTTGTTAAAAAATTTAATTGAAATAAAAATAAAATTTTTATTACCGTTCAATTTTTTAACGCACATTGCATTTTTTTTTAATTCACTTTACCAATTACTGTTATAAATATAATATAACTACAAGAGATGTGTTCCAATAACTGATAAAATTTTTACAAATTCAAAGGTTTTTAAAGATCATAAGATTTCAGTTATATGTGTGTATTATATATAGAGGAGTGTATATAAATATTGTTATTTTAAAAATAAAAGAATATGAATTCAAGATTCTATCTAGTGCGCAAATCAAAAATATATAACAGATTATTTTGAATTTTTCTGCAATTTTTGCTTTTTTTATGAACTTGTTTTTCAAAACATTGTCATACCATAAATATGTAATTACTATATCTAATGAAATTTTTTATTTATATCCTATATAGCACATAGAGAATAAATATATAATACAGTTTAATTTCGTTATTAATGTATGTAAGTATATGAATATTTGGTATACATACTTATATTTATTGACATTCATAAGTCACCGAATTATCCTTACGTTCCGTATATAGTTTCCTTAAAGAATATATAGTATTCCAATAAGTTGATGTTTATATATCATATATATATATAAATATATATATGTATGTATATATGTATGGATTAATACTTGTGTATGTTTTGTGCATTATAGTGTGATAAATTATTAAACCAACTGTTGCATTGTAAAATAAAAATAGGGGAAATCAAAATTTTTTACATTTTTAAAATTGAATTCTATTATATATGTACGAATGTATGTATGTGTATGTATTCTATATTATAATGTTAATGAAGTGTTGCCCATATATAATATAAATAAGGATCATTTTATATAATTTTATTTTATTTATTTTGAAGGGATACTTTTCTTTTCTTTTATACTGTAATTTTAATTAATCAAATGTTTTAAATTCTTAGTTAAGTATATTAAAAATTAAAATAAAAAAAAATATATTAGAAAATTTTTTGTATTAATTTAAAATCTTTAGAGTAATTTATTGAACCTTCTGTCTATGTACAATTTAACACACACTTATTTGAATTATATAAAACCAGAAATTATTATCTCAACAATATGAAAATCAAAAATAATTATAATTTCATGTTAATCTGTTTTTCATATAACAATTATATTAAAAAATTTATTTTTATTCTTTCACATTTTCGTTTTTAAAAAAATTATAAATAATGTGAAAATTATTTAATGTTAGCCAGAAAAAAAATAATAGTTTTTAATTGAACTACTAAAATATTATTTTTTATATTTCAAATTTCTGGAATCTGGAACAACCGAGAAGTATAATTTCTAACTACATAACTCGCAAATATTATAAAAACGCACCTTCTATATATTTAAGTATAGACTCTTTTAAAGTAACACACAAATCCGTGAATATTATACTAGCTATGCGTATAATATATTTAGAAAAAATTATTAACAAACAAAAAAAAAACAAATAAGCTTTATAATAAAATTATAAATTTTGTTTGCGTATATACATTAAACATTCTATATAGAACACAAAAATATACATAGATATTAAAAATAGAAAAACAAAAACTATGCATATAAAAAAAATTCAATTATTTAATGATCAATATAGAATTAGCTTGTGTGTACTTTTTAATACTCACTTCAAATCCTTTCATTTTACACACAATATCCAAAGGTTAATTTGTTTAACATTACATACACACATATGTACGGGAATATATTTTAACATTTTTATTGATATAGTCAAAATTACTTTAATTGCACACAAGTCTGTACTAAGTAATTAAATTCATATATACAAACACTTAATTAAATTATTTAAGCATATTTAATATTTTTTCATTACCATTTTTTACTTTTACAAATATAAAATTTTAACATTAAAATTAATTAAGTAAAATAAATCAAACAATTTTTTTTGTTACTTTATTTAAATTTAGATTTTAGTATAACTATATGGACATACTTGAAAAAAAACCAAAATATATTATTTAAATTATAACATATAAATTATAACTACTAAAAAATAAAAACAAAAATTAAATTAATTTTTACTTAATATTTATTTATTACACTTAAAAATAAAAAACAAAAGCAATTTAATGCTAATTTGCCGCCAATTGTGTAACATGCAACGTAAACAACTCGAAAGGTAAATTCAATCTGTTCGTTTCTGTTATATTTTTCATTCATAATTTATGAAAACAAAAAAAAAATAAAAAATAAAAATGAAAAGTTTTTTCAAATAACGAATTTAATGGAAGAAAAAAAAAAGTGAAATACTAGAGATTCTAACGAAACGTTAAACTTTTCTTCAAGTATTCGTCTATAAGCATACATTTTTATATAATATATGTATATATGTATATATATCAAATTATAGACATGATTTTGAAATTGAATATATATTCATATATATATATATATATACATGTATATATAAACATAATATGAATTCTTTCTGTAAGTGCCTTAAGAATTAAGAATTGAGATTTATGTATAATAAATAGCAATATTATAACTTAAAAAGGTTATAAGTCAATTAATTTTTTGTGTATTTTAAATTAAATAAACATAAAATAATTATATAATTATAAAAAAAAAAATTTTTGTTTTAAATATTATAGGTTTTATATATACAGTTTTTGGTACTTTTACATTTGGTAAAATTTACATTTATCATAATTAATTATCAAGATAATTGAAGAATATGCAATGATCTTTAGATTCTTTCTAACTTTACTTTGAATATTTACATAAAAAAAATCATATTGAATGTATATTTATATATATGAACATATATATAAATATATGAACATGCATATATATGAAAAATGTATGCATGATGTATCATAATTTGTACAGACAAAATAAAAGTATTTTCAATTCATGTATAAGAAAATAGAAATTATATAAAAACCAACACAATAGAAACCATATTTTATCTATTGAAAATTTTTTTACTTAAAACACTCCATGCGTTTTAGGTTTATTTTGCCTAAAATTTTCTTCTCAAATAATTTGTTTTTCTATAATGCGTAAAATTTTTTAAATTTCACATATTTTAAATTTAAAATCTAATTTATAAATTATTTTGAATACATCAAAAAAATAATATTTCTGTGGCCCCAATAAACTGTATAGGTTGAATGATTCTAATAACAAAATTAATATTTCAAATGTCATTAAATTAACAATATTTTCGTTTCTCTCTTTCAGTTGGTATACACATGACTGGTACTTATAATAAAAAGAGCATTAAAAATTGCTTTTTTGTAAGATTTGGCCCAAATTTTCAATATATAAATACATATTTAAACTGTTAAAACTGGGCCCTATTGCACCAATCGACTGTTAATTTTTCTATTAATCATTTAATCATAAAATATACCAAGAAATACTAATAATGAAATACAATCAAAATACTAATGAACTATACTAATAATAAAGTACTTTTTTTAATAATTTAAAAAGTTAAAAAGCAAAATTAAAAGTAGTCGACGTAATTGGGATAAGTGATTATAATGTGTAAGCAATAGTTAAAGTCGAAAGTTACTCGTATTATATTGAACACATAATTTGTTGTTACCACAGATTTACTAATTAAATTTTTTTTTTAAATTTTTTTAATATATAAGTATGTAGGTATTTAGTACTTGATATATGTTTGTGAGAATATATTTTTTATTTAACGTTTTCATGACGTCAATATGAAAGGGGTAATGATTGAAGAAACCGCACTATAATTCTGTCATGACACTATTTCTTTGTCTTTTATTTTTGTATTTTATTATCGCAAATGATTAAAACCGCATAATATGATCTCAATATTTTAATAACTACTATACATTTGATTAAATTTTTATATTAGAACTGAAAATTAAAATCAAAGCATGATCGTGGTTTCACCTACGTATTTACATATGCTTACGTATAAACAAAATATATCAAATTAAAGATAATTAATGCACCTGTATACATAACTATTACATTTACTAATGCTTTTAAACTATTATTATTAAATCATTTAAAATGTAACCAAGATTACATTATGTCAGCAATAAATTTTCCAAAATACATAATTTATGCGTGTGGAAAATATGTGTGTGAAAATAGTTTACACCAATCTTGTTAGTTTATTTTTCTTCTCATAAGATCCTTAATTATATTTTTGTTAATATTCCTTTTTCATAAAAGGACAAATAACCTTACAGGTAAAATACTATATTAAAGAAACTTATTAAATTATAGTATATGCTAACAATGTACTTTGATCTGCTCTTAGATTCGCTAAAATTTAACTTTTGTAGATCCAGTTCAAATGCATGGTAATTGTTGTACTATTTTAAATAATTTTACATATGTATGTATTAAAATATGAAATTCTTCCAAATTGAATTTAAAGGAACATTTGATCAGCTAAAATTAGATTATATTTTTAATTTACTTTCTATAAGAACAATATTTGCGTAAATGCAGTGAAAGTAACTTGTTTATTTGTTCACCTAAAAAGTATGGAGAGTTCATATATAGAACGAACTCTCCATACAATGAAAATCTCTCTATTTGAAGAACAATTCGTTTGGCGAAAATATTTGTTTTAACACTACTTACAATTTATGTACTAATACTACCTACAAATATTTGTTCTATTTACCTACATGTATATTATATAATCGTATCTGATGTAATTACAAGTATTCAGTAATGTTTCTTAATTTTCTTTGTTTTCAGTTGGTTTCGTAACTTATGATATTTTTAATAGAATTGTCAAAAAAACTTTCAAGTATTTAAAACTAAAATTTTACACAGTTTTTTTATTTTATTGGAAATTTTTTTATTTTATTTATTTTTATGGGGTTTACAAAAATAATATCAAATTTGTTACAATAATTATCACCATCATTTATTTATTCCATACACAGAATAAGCCCCATTATTTGCAACCACGTTATTCTTTTACGATATTTGTATCACATTCTTAATTATATTTGAAAAATAATATCTTTCGTAGCCGATAAAAAATCAACTCTTTTTTAAATATAATCTATAAAAAATAATTGTTATATTGAATAAAAGTTTTATGCTAATTATGCCAAAAAAAATTTGTTTGTGTGGCATGATATTTTAAAAATTTTTTGTATAGTTTTCAAAATGGTTTGTTAAACGGTAATGAGCAATCAGAAAATAATTCAACAAAATTTAAACAAAAAATAATTATGTATATACATATGTATGTATATTGTTAAAGAAAAATTGGAAAATATGTATTTGTTTGCCTTCTAAACATACACTTGCCCTTTTAAAAACAAATATTATGCCTGAACGAAAAGCATTCGTTCGAAACACATCCTTTTACAATTAAATTTGCAATTGTATGTATGTACATATTAATGTAATGAAAGATCCGATATTCGCTCAGTTTATTATCATCCAGTGAGTATAATAAAAGTGAGATATGTATGTACATAATAATGTACATGAGGGACTAAAAATCATTACTAAGCATATGTATATATGCATGTATGTAAGGGCATGTTGTCTTTAACAAATGGTTTGAAATATTTGAGACATTTGCTTGAAATCTAACACCACATATTACTCTAAGTTTACATTTAAATAACATAATGCATGTATGTATGTATGTACATAGCAAAAAGAATAATTAGAATAACAATATATAAAATTCTGTTCATTTTTAAAAAATTCAGTTCCTTCTTCATGGCGCATTTTAAATGAGTTTGTGAGGAAATGAGATTTATAAATTTGTCATATTAACTCTATGTATACTTACGTATAATGTTGGTCCGATTAAAAAAAGGAAAATGTTTTGAAAAAGAAGCAAAACGTCTCTGGGTTTTCTTAAGAAATAATATGAAAATTGATATGAAATTCTGCACAACTTTGGCTGCGTTTAAGCGTAAATCTACTTCAACTCAAGTTGGATGTTTTGATATTTGTAGCTATGGTATAAAGGCCAAAAAAATTAATTTGATTAGACAAAATCTAAGTTTCCGTTTATATATGCGACAAAATATTTGATAGAGTTTGATAGAGGTCGTTGACACCACACTTTGTCTAACGGCAAATATCAGAAATTATTCTATTCTCGTCAGATTTACTGTCAGATTTCCCAAAAGTAAAACGTTGACAGTTAATAAGTTTGTCTGGTATAGGAAAGTACGGAAAAACTTTATAAAGTTTTAGTATGTAAAGCGTCTGCTATGATACTTTTTGAGAAAAATAAGAGAAAGTGATGTCGTCATAGTTTTTTCATTGTTTAAAGTTCTTTCAAATTTTGTAAAGTAAAATTTAGTGTTTTAAAAACCTTTAAAATCATAAAGCTGTCAAAACATATATTCTTTTTTTCGTATATATGTACTGTTTATGTTTGATAAATATTGAAAATTTGACGTTTTTTACGTATTTTATAAAGTTTTCAAAAGTTTTTTCAATATTTCCGTGTGGTTTATTTTTTTTCTTTACGATCTTTTACGGCAAAGTTTTCTCTTTTTAAAGTTTTCTAAAGTTTTATACCAGACAGACCTAATTTTTTGTGGAAGTTGGAACAAGAATCAGTTGATTTTTGTTTACAATTTCGGTAGAAAAATTTTTAAATTTTGACGTTAAGGTGGAGCGTCACCACATTGTTTAAGCGTGGCATCTAAAGAGTCATCTGACATTATCGTAGATGTACATAGGTGTGATAAACCTAAACGAGCATAAAACCTGTCAAAATGTTCTCATATCCGTACATTTTAAATAAAGTGATCTAAATGCCTACAAAACATATTCGAATTTTTCATTTGACAACGAATTAGGTACATTTTTTCATTGTTGTTTTGATTATTTTTTTTTTAATATCAAATTTATCTGCTTATTTTAAATTCACAATATGTAAAGCGTGAACTTAAAATTTGACAATGTAAAACCTTTTTTGGAAAATAATTTTGATTTTTAGAAATGTGGCTTATTATTTATTAAAATTAAACTCTGTTATTTTTATTTCTTGCCCTTGATATAATATGCGTCTATATCTCACCTAAAAATTTTTCCAAAATCTTAAGCGCTAACACCAAACTAAACCCACATGCAAATTTGATACGTTTGAGGCGACATCCTTAAAATAGTAGCACTGTACTGGCTCAGCTGTCAATAATTTTTACTGGTTCTACTCATTACACTACTGTCATATTTTTGGCTATGCAGTATATATTATACATAATAACTTCAATTCAATAATATGAGTTTATTATAATATTCAAAATATTTTCAAAATAATATTTAGCATTTGTAATTTGAGTATTTGGGCATGCCGACTACATTGGGTAGATTTTCTTTATTAAATTTATTTCACAGAAGTCCTTTAGTTGGCAATTTGTCGATACTTTCAAATTTGAATTATTGCACAAAACAAAACCATACCGAGCAAGGGTTTGAAGATGTGGGACAGAAACTCTTGCGAGTTGCAGTTATCGGAGTACCCAATGCAGGAAAATCAACTTTTATAAATAATCTTATTAATCATAGGGTATGCAAATTTAACAAAGAATATACAATTTAAGAAAGGAAAGTGATTTAATTTTAGGTTTGTCCAACTTCGAATAAAGTTCATACAACACGTCGCTCAAATAGAGCGGTTTACACAGAGAAAGATACACAGATTGTTTTAATCGATACACCAGGTTTAGTTACAAAAACTGAAATGCAAAAATACAATTTAGGGAAGAAATTTAGTAGCTCATATAGAGATTCTATTCAAAAATCTGATATAATCGCAGTAGTGCATGATGTCTCTAATAGTTGGACAAGAAATGAATTTCATCCAACAGTTTTAGAGACTTTAAATTTTTATTCAAAAATGCCTTCGTTTTTAATTTTGAACAAAATAGATTTGTTAAAATCAAAAAGAGTCTTATTAGATTTAATTAAAATTTTGACGAATAATACTTTGTCAAAAAGCAAAAAACCTATATATAAAAAAAGTTTATCTTATGATATGGATAAAAGTAAAGAAGTTGGATGGAGCAGTTTTTCAAATATTTTTTTAGTATCAGCTGTAACAGGAGATGGTTTGAGTGAAGTTATGGTACCTACATATATACCAAAATAACATATTTACATTAATTTTTCAAAAACATTTTTTTTACCCAGAAATGGTTATTACATGAAGCAAAAAACGAGAAATGGTTGTTTCCAGCTGGAACTTTTACTGATGAAACACAAGAAGATATTATTGTTGAAAGCGTAAGAGCGCGATTGTTAGATTACTTACCACAGGAAATTCCATACAAATTGCAAACAACATTGGAATATTTTAACGAAGAAAAAAGTAAAAATAATGAATTGTATTTAACAAAACTATTATTGCTTTCAAACCAAATACTAGACATTTAACATGCAGCTCTATCATGAATTCCACTCGTAGAATCCTACGAATTGCCAACATAACTACGACGTAGACTTTTGAATAATCACAAATTATTTTCGTAGAAAATATGAATCATCAATGGCGGTAGAATTTTTCGGAGTGCCAAATTAAAAAATTAAAAAATTAAATAATTTAATACGACTATTCTTTTTAAATTGCTTGTTGTGAGTGATTGAGATAACTTTTTACTACGAACGTAATTAATGATTATTTAATTACGAATGTTTGGAGAAGAATTTTAGTAATTCGTAATTGACAATATGATATTCGTAATTTTCTGAATTTCAGAACTACGAACGAAATTCATGATAGGGCTTATTATTCATGCACTTCCTTCATTCCCAACATACTTTTCTCTTTCATCCTTAAAAATTGTTGGGTTCGTAAAAATACTACAAAAAAAAAGACATGATGCCCAATTATAGAGAGACGATATGTCGATTAATTTACATGTATTTGTACATTTTCAGATATTATTTATGCATCTGTGCAAGTTGCTTGCCCTAATTTAAGGCTGGAGCGCCTTTTTCGTGGAGAATCTAATGGAAAGTTAAAGCAAATTACGGAAAGAATCACTTCTGACTTGGTTGAAACTTTTAATAAACCAATTTCCTTAACAATAACAACTACAATAAGTAAATCCGAAAAGATTTTAGTTAATTAAACTTTGAATGTTATTTTTAAATGCTAAATAAAAATCAAATATTTCAATAATCCTTCTTTTTCTTTTTATTCTTAGCATACACAACTTACAAATACCTTAAACACTGCTATAAATAGAGATAAAATTAAACCTAATCACTTGGTAGTGAGAGCATAATTTAAAATATTGAAACTTAAAGAATTTACAAATATTACACTCTTAATCTACAAACTTTATAAAATAACGTAAAAATAATTACAATAACGACGGAAATAAGTCAGTAAATGAATCATTCCAAAGTTCATCAAATTGAAATTTATCCATTATCTCCCCAGAAGTATTTTCTGGGGAGCCTATTGAACCATAACCATGGTCTGATATGACTGAAAAAGGACTTTTTGGTCGTTTGTCAAAAGTAGGTATCGTCAAGAACTCTTTTATTGGATCATAATCTAAATCTTCCTCCATGCTAGTCGCACTACTTGAGAACATTAACGACTGTCCATTACTACCAACATTAGTGCAATCAGTTATTGGAATTTCCATGTTTTCTGTATTTTCTTGTTCACTACCAACTTCTTCAACTATTTCTTCTATAGGATCACTACCATCTTGTAAACATATTGTTATTGAGTGTGTTCTTTCATCATAAGTTCCGTACAGTGTTTCAGGTTCCGAAATTGAGCTAAGATCTGCTTTGTCTGATTTTACTATTAATTTTTCAATTTTATTTTCTTTGATTTCACTTGAGCGGTTTTTTTTGTTTGAATTTTGTTGGTGTTTTTTTATGCAAATATTTCCTGTTCCAGTAAGTGAGTCTGAATCGCGTTTAAGTGATTGTTCCGGGCGGTTGGATTCCATGCATTTTGGTGCGGTCCCCACCACTCGTCCAAACAATTGCTCTGCTTTGCTTGAACTTTCGGCATCAACATTGCTGCCCGTTCTATTATTTTTTTCCAGCTCTTCTGTGACATCTGTGAGTAGAAATTCGGCAAATTCTTCAACGTCGAAATCTTTAAGTTTGTTGACGTCGAAGTCTTTGAGCAAATCTTGTAAAGCAAGCAAAGCATTATTATCTTCAACAGAGGCGTTACTGCCTTGCCTTTGTAATAATCCTTCCCTTGCTGTTTCGTGTAACCGAACAGCATTGACTCTGGTACCGTTCCCTTCGGCAGAGGGTAAGTGATAGATTCTGCAGATCTATTCGAATTATTGGAATCAGAATCAATACAGTCTGATTTCATCTCATCACAAGATGCTGAAATGTTAAATTTCTCTTCTTTCATTTGTTGCTGCAAAAATTTCAATTGTCTGTCCAGTTCTTGAACCTGAACATCAAGTTTTTGATTTTTCGTCATTAATGAATTATTGATTGCCTCTAAAGTAGTGCATTTATTTTGTAATATTTCTGCACGTTCTGTCAAATCGGTAATTGTTTGTTCCATTTGATCCATTTTGGCTTTTTTCCGATCCCGAGAAGTTTGTGCTGCAACTCGGTTTTTTAATTTCCTATAAAACAATTAAATTTTATGTAAAATTGTGACTAAATTTACTTCTGAAGACTAACTTTCTTTGCATTTTTTCCTCCCAAGTTAGATGATCCAGACGCCTCTTTTTTCCACGAACTGGGGATATTTCAATTTCCGGTTTCGACATGTCGTCCAAAGCCAATAGGCCTGGACTGGTTATCGTAGCTGGAGGTATTTTTTGCAGTGGATTTGGCGTAATTGCGACGTATTTAGAATTAGTTATTAAAATTGAAGATTTCATTTTCTTCTTTTTTAGTTTACACTCTGTTTAAAAATATCTTTTCATTACTTTGCTTCCACAATAACGATTTGAAAGTTGTTGATTATTCGTTGTGATACACACAAAAGTGCAAATTTAAAAAATTTAGATATTTTACATGATTTATTTTTACTTTCGCCTATATGATCAATTACTATACAAATTCTAACAATTTCAAAACTAAAATATTTTGATTACGTGGACAAATCAAAATACGTAACTTGTTACCAACTTTAAATGATTTATTTAAATCATTGAAATTTTTAAAAAATTTTATTAATACTTTGATATATGGTAACTCTCTGGTATTATTAACAATCATGTGCAGTTTTTTGATTGGTGAACTCTCATCATCACTTTTTTATGGAATAGTGTTGGTAAAAACGTAAAATTTTTCAAAACTTTCAGCTCATTTTTAACTTCGTTGTGTAGAATTTTCAACCATTTAAAAAAATTTTACAAAAACATGTTTCACATAAAGTTCTTTTTTCAAGCGAATGAAATTTAAAAAACAGATTTCAGACAACTCATTTATTAAAACTAACAAACCGTAGTTCTAAAATACCTTGATTTAAATTTAACCTAATACTGTTTTGTCTTTTAATAGCATAATTTCACTTTCAAAAGTTTAATAAAGTTCGTAGAAAATCAACAATCGGATTCAGGTGAAATGTTTGCTGGGATGCTTTCAAATTTTAGTATAAAAATTTTTATGATATTACAAGGGCTAAATATTTATTTTCCCATGAACTTTTAGATTTTAGGTGCTTGGTGGGAACATCTTAACTGAAGCGAAAGTATTTTCCTTTTTTTCTTCACTAAAGCGAGTTGAATTTTTTTTATTTTATATTTTAAATTATTTTTTAATTTTTTTCGTTTTCAATATTGCAGATAAACATTTAAAATTCATAATAGGTCTGTCTGATATAAAACTTAATTTACTTTAAAAAGAGAAATAATGACGTAATTACTCCCAAAAATAAAAAAATCCTCTTTTAAAAAAAAATTAAACTAATGGAAAACTTGAAAAATCTTAAAAACTTTAGAAATATTTGATAAACGTCAAAGTATTTATCAAACATAACAAATTTTTTTTTGGTTATCCCAAAAAACAAAAATTTTGATTTTGGTTTATAAAACTGTGAACGTCATCTTTTTTTCTTATTTGTTCAAAAAGTATTATCCCAAACGCTTTGCATGCAAAAACTTTACAAAGTTTTTAAGTTTTTAAAAACTTCCTTATCCCAGACAGACCTAATAAGCATATATGTAATCATTTTCCAAGGCAAAGATGTCCTATTTTAACGCGATTCAAAATTTTTTTGTTTAGCTGAGATCGTCACATAGAATTTTTATAATTTTTATATAAAAATATACCAAATATACCAAATTTTTTGAAGCTCACTTAAAAAATTTTCAAAAAAAAATCCACCTGCTTTCCTCCAGTAAATGTCAAAATTCATAAAATTGACATTTTTATATTGACGTTTAAGAAATGCTAGTTTGATTTAATTTTTTCTTTTTAAGTTCTTTTTACTTTGGCGTTTGTAGAAAAGGTTCGTACATCAAATTTAAAAAATTTTATTGCAAATATTTCATGTTATTAAAATATAAAATAGTTGTAAGAATTGAATAATTTTAATATAAAATAAATTGTTTTCAAAACAAAAGTGAAACAAGTGAAATATTCATAAATAAAGGCATTTGAAAACAAATCTCAAAACAACCATGTGTTTGCACATAATGCAGATATTATTAAAATTTCCTTATGTTTTCAGGTAGAAAATGACTATTCGACCAGCTTATAGACCTAAAATTGTTAAGAAACGTACAAAGCGTTTCATTCGCCATCAATCAGATAGATATGCAAAACTATCGGTAAGTGAAGTAGATTTTCTGAAATATACCTAACCTTCAAACGTAAATAGGCTTAATACATATTGGGATAATATACTTATAACTAATTTTTTCAGTCGAAATGGCGTAAACCAAAGGGTATTGATAACAGAGTTCGTAGACGCTTCAAAGGACAATATTTAATGCCAAGTATTGGTTATGGATCAAACAAAAGGACAAGACATATGTTACCAACAGGTTTTAAAAAGTTTTTGGTACATAATGTTAAAGAATTAGAAGTTCTTTTAATGCAAAACCGTGTTTATTGTGCTGAAATTGCCCATGGGGTATCATCAAAAAAGCGAAAAGATATTGTTGAACGTGCAAAGCAATTGTCGATCAGATTAACAAATCCACATGGACGTCTCCGTTCACAAGAAAATGAATAAACCAATGTTTTTGAGCAAAATAAAACAATAAAAAATTTAAGTTTAGTTTTTTGCAATTTTTTTTTAAGAAACCAATTGCCTTTTTCTCTGAAGTAACTTTCAGTACTTCAGTGTAGCACCATGTTTGAATAAACGTACATTAGCAGCAAAAATATGCAAAGTAAAAGAGCTTCCATAACTAATTTTACAAACTTCAGATACTATTACACGTCGTACAATTTATTAATATGTATATATTTACGGGTTGGGTATTATCACAGGCATCTTTATTACATAGAAGTTTATAGTATTATCAAGATTTACATAATTGCAAATACATATGTAGATACTTGTAAAATATTCTGATTACAAATAGAAAATAGAAAATAAAACGTTTATTGTGTGCAATAGAAGTTGTAACCTTTTTTTGAAAAACCACTTTTTTTAAAATGTAATAGCTATTACATGATTACAGTCATAAAAATAGTTAAACCTTATATTAAAAATGAAAACATTAAGAAGTATTTTACAATCTGAATAACAAAAGTCGTTTGCACCTGCATTGAAAACGAAACAAAAACAAAAATCAGATGATCTAGTTTACACCGTTAATTACCATATTAAGAAGACATCTTTTATACATACATACTTTTTCTTTAATATTTAAAAAGACTTTAAAAGTTACTTGAAATATCAAGTTTTAACTTACAACATGGAAAAAATTTTGAAAATAGGAAAACATATAACGTAACAGCATTTTTTCATTATCATTATCAAAAATCTATTTATTCTATATAAAATTCTAGATATTTTATCTTGAATAAATAGATTTTGATATTTTTTATATTGAACAGTTTAAGGCTAGGTAATTTAACGACTTTAACCATCTCTCTTGAAACAAAAATTACATACCTACCTAATATACTTATGAATGCAATAATATCAAAATATCTAGCTAGTTGTTGCAAAAATTCAAAAATAAATCTAAGATCTACTATAATACAAAAAGAAAAGTGTAAATTGAACTAGTATAAAAGTTTAAAAAATTTTTTATAATTCTAGATATCTTGTTAAACAAGCTTTATTTTGAATAACTGAATATCACCAATTCTTATTAAACAAAATCCATATCAAGCAACATTAGGTTTCTGGAAAAAAAAATTCAGATCTATCTTGCAATTAGTAATAGTAATTCATTTAAAGTGGTTGTGCATAAAAAATAAATTCAAAGAGCTTCAAATGGAAATTTTGAAAAAGTAAGAAATTACATTTATGTACATTTCGTGTAGTGAAATACATATGTATATACTTACATACATCATACAATTTTCCATGGATTTAGTTTATAAGCGATTTATGACTGTACATACTTATCACACATATTGGTATAAACGTGCACAGATTTAAATAAGTAATTTTAAATATTTTTTTTTGTGTTTAAAGATTGTACCTGCTAGCCTTTTTTGGTGATTTTATCAAGTTATATAATTTTAAAAAATCAATCGATTATCGAAATTAAAATAATTTCGTTTCTTTAAAATGTTTAAATGTCGTTTTTAACGGTTGATTTAACAAACTCTGGAAAAAACCAAAATTTATCTAATTTAAGGTTCAATCTCTTTATAAATCTTGCAAGTACTTTTAGTTTTTTTATGTACATATATATTTTATATTTGGGCGAGTATTCACATACATACCTATTTTAATGCATAATGTACCATTGTTCAAAATAAGTATATTCTAAATTTTTATTTCTGGTAAAATTATGTTCATACATACATATGTATGTATATTGTACACTGTATGTACTTTGTACTATGTATGTACTATGTACTATGTATGTACAATGTAGGTAATATAACGTTTTGTATAGTGTATTGTGTGTATAGACAAAATTTTTTGAAAATTTATTATTAAATTATATATTAATAAATTTATGTCAAAAAATAAATTATCTTATTTATTAAGATAAATTTATTAATAAATATTAAAAATATTTTGATAAATTTATTAATATTTGCGATTATTACATTGTATTTATTTGTAATAAGTGAAATTATAATATTTATATTATAAACATGTATGTATGTATTATGGGCATATGTTGTAATATCTATCATGATACAGCAATATGTATGCAAAATACAGTAGTACTACTAAACTTAAAATTAAATTTCAGATATTTTTAATTTTATATTTACTTTATATTCTATAGTTTTCTAATAATTTCACTGATGACTGCCCAGACTATTGGTGAAAAATTTTATAGAAAAGATGGCAATGATATAATACCAAGAAATGTTGTTCTCATCTATTCCAATTCAAATATTATGAACAAAAAAGAACCTAATATTTACGTAGTATATCCAGAAACAACAACCATAAGAAACATTAAGATAACAACGGAAAAAATTACTAATGCGCAATATTCTACTTCAACTACACAAAAATCTAATGATAGTATAGTTAATGATAATATAACAGCACAAGTAACTGCATTCACAGAAACGTCCACGCCAATGTATTCTTTATTAACTTTTCCAAATATAGATTTAAAAGAAGACAGTGATTGTGAGTTATTACAGGAGTCTAGAAGTAGTACTTTAAATCCTGTTGCAATAGAGACACAAATCCAACAAATCACAGAAAAAAATTTTCAGAAAAAGCCAAACGAAATAAATTCACTTAATCCTCGAGGTAACTTCATGGGAAAATTTCAACATAAAATGAAAAAATTGGATATTTCTGATAAATTAACGACTGCATTATATAATTTTAGCACATCGTTAATTGATGCTGAAACAAAGAAATATAAAAGAAATGAAATTGAAATACAGAAGAGCGAAAAACTCACTACATCTTCTTTTCCAATAAAGAGTAAAATAAAAGTTAAAAAGAACTTATCATTTATTTTAAACAATGTCACTAGAATTTTAGACTTAAAAACATTATCAAGTACACCTTCTGGGATAACTAAGTTAAAAAAAGGGCAATACAGAGGAAATCAAACTACTATATATGAAACTGATACTGCCAGTGCTGAAGTACTTGGTATGCTATATAATTCAACAGACAAACGTGATTTATTATTAAGACAGTCAAATAAATCCAAAAAATTCATATCTGCCCTAATGAAAAGAAATAAGGTTAGACTATCATCAACCACTAACAAAGTAAAGTCAACGTCTACTCCAGCGATGAATATAAATTTAAATCATAAATTAAATCCAATTCGACGTATATATAAGCCAAGAAGGGGTACCACTGAAAATGTTTTGTCCAAATCTTCCGTAACTCCTACAACAGAACATCATATTAAATCTTTCGTCAAGGAAAGTATAACTTTATTTCCAGATGAAGTCCCGGAAAAATATTTAGCTACCGAATGGAGTTCGCTTAAAATACATAAGGTGAACAATATAACCAAAACGAGAGGCAGCAAGAAATTTTCTCTCACTGATATTGTTAAAATTTTTACATAAACTTGAAAAATATTCTAAAAAATAAAAATTAAATAGATTAAGAACGTCGTACCCTTGATTTGTATTGTAGGAATCTTTGTATTTTTATAATTAAGAAATTTGCTTATGAAAAGATTTAAATATTTACAAGCTATGAAAAGTACACCCGATTGAAGAAATGAAATTAATGCAGTTATTATTTTGTTACAAAACTATGTAAAAATTTTAAAATTAGTACATATTTATATTTACTCTTATTCTGTTAAACGCCTCACATGAGGTGATATTCAAAATTATTACTTGAAGTTATTATTCAAAAGTATTGAAGTTTTCTTTATACTATTTCAAACTTCGAAATTAAATTTTTTTTCGAAAATTTAAAAATTTTTGAGTAAATTACATCAACGCAAATGATTTTAGTCTAAGAATATGGGTGAATATTTCTTTAAATGCAGTTAGTTATAAATTGTAAATTTCGAACTTTGATTATAGCTTTAGAAGGAATATTGTAGGAAAAATAAATATTTTAAAATACAAACAATTTAAATTTGTTTTATCAAGTTATTTAATCAAAAAATATTTTACAGCCAAATCAACAAGACTCAAAACTTAAAAAATTACTTTTCCTGTGAAGTATTTGAAAATTTATATTTTTTTGACGATTTGCACTACATCCTCATCATTTAAGATATGTTCAATTCCCACTTTTTGAGGCTGATGTTTAACCGAGGATCCCCACACTAAGGCGCTGAAAAATGCACATGTTTGCAATAAAGTTTTTGACGTAAAAATTTTGCTTACTATTTAAACTCCTTAGCGATTGATCTATGAAGCTTATTACAAAAATCTTCTAGGGATGTTCTCTCACTATGTAAAACAATTGGAGAAGTGTAATCGGGCAATTGTCCTTTAGGTTTAGTATAACTAAAATTTATAAAAATTTTTATTTAAACACTCAAAAGGAGAACAATAGAAAAAAGCATTCTTATAACTGTACATTCTTATAAGTTTCAAATATTCCCACATCAGTTCTAATAAATCATCAAAATTCCACTTATGATGTGCCGAAATTGGAACGCAATGTGGAATTTTGTAAATTACGTCCAATTCCTCAATAGAAATTTGATCAATCTTATTTAACAAATAAATACATGGAATATAAATACGATTTCCTTCAATTACATCAATTAGATCATCCGAAGTCGCATCACATCTAAGAGTTATATCAGCGTTATGTATTTTGTATTCTGATAAAATTGTTTTAACGGTGTCCAAGTCAAGTTCAGATTGTTGTACGGCACAGTTTAGATTAATACCGCCTAAGAAACAAAATTTAAAAAATATTGTCTACGTGTTTCAACATTTTCTACTGATATATAAATACCTTTGTCTTTTTTTCGAAAATGTATGTTCGGAGGCTTTTTATTTAGACGAATTCCAAAACCTTCCAATTCATGTTCAAGTAATTTTTTATGCCCCAGTGGTTTTAGTACATCCAATACCATAAATATTAAATTACACGTTCGTGCAACTGCAATGACCTGTCTACCTCTACCTTTTCCATCTTTAGCACCTTCAATAATTCCTGGTAAATCTAATAACTAAGTTAAATAAATAAAAATATTATTCAACGATCTTAAATATAAGTAAATTATTCTTAAACTTCACTTGTATTTTTGCTCCTTTATATTTGATACAGCCCGGTACTGTTGTTAAAGTTGTGAATTCGTATGCAGCAACTTCAGAGTAGACACCAGCTAGATTTGAAAGCAGAGTTGATTTACCTACTGATGGAAAGCCTACAAAACCTGGAATAAATATAATATATTTCAGTATTCAGTTTTCTAAGTAAAGACTTGAATTCTGACCTACTCGAGCGTCACCAGTCTTGGCCACTTCGAAACCAGCTTCTCCAGAGCTTCCACCACCACCTTTTGGAGAAATAAGCTCACGCCGAAGTTTAGCTAATTTAGCCTTCAATAAACCTAAATGGCCAGCAGTAGCTTTATTTTTTTGGGTTCGGGCCATCTAGTTAGTAGAATTAACATAGTATGAGCATTATAACCTTCAAGATTGATTATTTTCAAACTTATTACTTACTTCTGCTTCAATAGCAGCTATTTTTTCCAAAGTGGTACTCATTTTAAATGTATTTTTTTAATTTACTTCTTAAATTTTGAATTTTCTTGTACAATCAAAATAAAAGTTTCAAATTGCACGCGTGTAGCAGTTTAGGATCTACTCATCTTATTTTCTCTCTGATACAATTCTTCATGTATGTCAAGGATTTTGACGTTCTGTTATTGTCGAATTATTTATGAAATAATGATGAAAACAGCCCTATCAAAGACATATTTGTCAAAAACTTTTTTATATTTGAAGATACAGTGGATTCTCTTCAAAATTACCTCAGATAGTGTCAAAACAGTTTTAATTACATATTGTGGCGTTAAAAATTTCTTGTTTAATTTTATATTTTGCACTCGGTTGATGACAGCTCCTTTAATTAAGCAGCTAGCATAAAATCATTGGATTACGTTTTAGCTTACAATACTTCATGTATTCCTATTTTTACCAAAGCGGGTCAAATGACACGAGTTTAAAATGTTACGAAAATACCATGTCTTGTGAGAAATATTAGTTAGACCAATTTAGTAAATGAGGAAAACATTTTTTTCAAATAACGTTTTATTAAGTAATTTATATATTAAATTTATATAAATAATAATTCACAATATAATAAATAATAAGAATTGAAGTTTGGAAAGAATTGGTATGTAGTAAATAAAATAAATATGTAGTCTGGTGGCAATAATTAATACTAACTAAATTGAAATTGTGAATTTATTGAGCAACCCGTTTTGAAGTTTGAAATAAAACGTTAACTTGCCGAACAGAGTTGAATTATAAGCATTTTGAATTTTTGAAATTTTTATTCCAATTGTTTTAATTAATAATATCTACAATTGTTTTGTTTATTTTGCAGTTGACTTAATTGACAAACAAGGTATGTACACACTTGATATAATGGTTTTTGAGAATATTGACATTTATTTTATGAACTGTTTTTCGAAATAGGTACATTTGTACTGTTTCTTTGAAAATAACTTTATTTTTTATCTTTTTTCGAATATGTTTACGAAAAATTCATTTCATTTTCATTTTTTCAATTCCAAAACTTTTAACGTTAAGGTGGTAATCGGAGAGTGCAATAAACACTTCGTATGAATAATTATGTACAAGTGACATACATACATATGTATATGTACAAGAGGCTAGTTAGAAAAAAAAAGAAAATTTTTGGCAGTCTTAAAAATTAAAGGAAAATGGTTAGCAGAAGAAACAAGTTTTCTAAAGAAGTACCTGAAAAAAGACTCTCCAATTTCCAATATTGTGATGGATATACTTTACAAAATAAAAAAAAAGATCATACTTTAAAAAGAAGTTTAACTGTGAAAACCGAAAGTTGCTCTGAAAATCAAATTATTTTAGCGGATTCAAAAATATTAAAACTGGATAATAAAAATGGAAAATTTGTTTCAGAAACAAATTGTTTGCAATTATCAAAAAATTATGAGAAAAATAATAATAAAACATTTTTAAATCAATCTGACGAAAGCAAGCAATCCGACTACTTAATTAGTGGAATGGTGGATTTCGCTTTAAAAATACACAAACTTTATCCAGAAATTCCATCCTTTTACGAAATTTTTGGTAAATATTAAAATGTCTTAAGACTTTTTTCAATATAAAAATGGAAATATTTCTATATATTTAGGTACTCTTATAAAATTCTCAAAAGGAAAATTTTTTGATCAATATACACTACTGCTTAAAAATGTAAAAGGACCAGTTCTGCAAGCATACTACTACGAATCTGATATAAATTTTAAGAATATTGAAAAAGGTAAGCTAAAACAAAAGTTTTGCCATTTTTTTTTTTAAATAATTCAAAAATTTTAAGTAATTAACAGAAAATTTTTACATCTATTTAAATTACATACACAAATTTCTAAAATCAGGACCCTATTTGCACTAGCCACTTTTACTTTTTATTTTTTCAAAATCTAATCCGTTTTTAATTATCATAGTTAATTAGTATTTTACTCTTGGTTCGATAGAAACATCAAATTTTTTTGATTGATTGATTTAGCAACACTAAAAAGTGGTTGGTGCAATACGATTTAGAATGAGCTTTTCAGTTTTTATACTTTCTTAATATCAAAATGCTTTTTAGGTCAAAAATTATGCTGTGTAGGAAAATTTCTAAATGCCAATAAACAATTCAACATTTTTAAATTAACATATTTAGATAAATTTCCTTCAGAGGAAACACTTTTAAGAATTCAAAATATATGTATATTTTCACTTAATAATATAAATAAATTTTCTACAATGCAATAAATGTTTCAGTTACATGAAAATACTAGGTGTAAAAATTTCAATTGCGATTAGTATTCTCTGTATGTTATGTATAAAGATTTAACAATTTTATTTAAAAATTTCTTTTATATAAGAGCTGTGTTACTTTACATTTAGTATAAATTCAAATGAAATTAGATTTATTTTGAATATCATGTAAAACAAATGTATAAATTTAGACGTAATACAAATTTCTGTTGTAAAAATAAATAATAGTATGAAAATACATTTATCTTTGCAAAATAAGTATAATAAGCTTAAAATTGGAATGTTTTTTTCTAGCTACTATTTTGAAATTGAATAGCGAACTTAGTTGTAGTTCTAAAACAAAAGTTCATTTTAAGCGTTTTGGTTATCAAAATACAATTTTAATCTTTTGTATGAAAAATTTTTTATGTTTATAGATTTACTGTTTATAGAAGTACTATTTAATCTTTCATACGAATTCAATTAAAATAGCAGAGTATCTTACTTAAGCAAAAAATTAAAATTAGAATTGCAAATAAGTCGTAAAGAATTTTATGATTGTTTTAAAGTTGAAATTTTTTCACATTTGCGAGTATGTAATTCATAAAAAAGTATAAACTAAAAGTATAACGCGATGAAGCTTTTCAATAATATTTTAACACTTACTTATCCGGTATTCTTTATATTGAATTTGAGACTACTTTGTTTATTTGAGTTTAGTTTATACGGTTAAAAATGAATAACATTTTTTTTACAAATAAAATTTAACCGAGCTTAAAATATTTAATAAATAAACTAATTACATTAATATAACCTGTATGTACATATATAATGAATGAATTTAAAATAAATACATGTATTAGGCATTTTTGAGTTAGTGATTAAATAAATATGATTCAAATAAATTAACTTAAATAGCTATATGACACTTTTAAAATATTTATGCATCTAATTTTTTTTGCCTACCTACCCTACTTTTAACTTTAAAATATTTAATAAAAATAAAGCATCAAAAAGGTAACAATGATTCCACTTGTTAAAGCCGTCATGTAGGATAAATCAATACTAAAAGATTTTTGCATTCTGTACCTAAAAAAAAAAAGTTATAATAAAGAATGATTGAAAATATATGTAGTATGTAATATTAAAAACATAATACTATACATACTCTTTTTTTGATTTTGGTGAAAAAGGAGATGGCGGATAGGTACCAGGAATTTTACTATCCAGTAATACTATCATAAATGAAAAAAATGAAAATAATATACCACAAAAAATTGGTGTTAATATTGGCATCCATAAAGGTGTTTGTTCCCTTATTATTTCATATCCATAATTGAAATGATCTTGCATATAGTATGAAATTTGGTAAATATCATCTTTGGTTAAAGTTGACACTGAAAAAATAAAATTTTATTAATTGACACTGAAAAAAAAAAATATTGTACACATCATATAAACTAAAGGAACGAAAAGAATTTATTTTAGAATTTATTCAGTCATTTTTTGTATACATAAGTGATTTCTTTGCTTGCCTAATGAAGAACAAATTTTTATGGTCATTTTGCAAAACTTGTGTTTGACGAGTTTGTTAAAGAAAAAATAGAGAATGGTTCATAAGTTTTATATTGATGGTTATGGTAGAAAATTTGCAATATTTAAATACGAGTATATGTATATTCAAGTGCAATATACTAAAATATATATTGCATTGTACCAAAGTACCAAAATTCACACGATTATTTTAAAACAATATTTTGTGCTCGCAAATCACACATACTTTTTTATAATTTAATACTCTTGTATGAATATGCAATGTATTTTAGTTTAACTTCCGTTCCCAATACTTCCAAAAAAAATTATATTGTATGTTATAAAACAGCATTATATTTATTATTGATTTTCATTTCAAATATTCGTCATCATAATTTAGAAAATCTAAATTTAGTTCACTGTGTGTTCCCCCGCTGCTATCCCTTTCATAAATTTTATTAAAAGAAAGATTAAAACAATTTCTTTTACTTCTCAAGAAATTTAACAGGGAAAAAAATATTTTTGTTTAGTTTAATTTATCTATTGAGTTCAAGAACAAAATACATAATAAATTTTTATTAAATAAAAAATAGAAGGTAACTTATTCATCGCTTTCCTTTGATGTGATGATATCATTTAAAATATTGCAAAAATTAAGCTTTTAATTTGATTTTTCGCTGAAAATTCTCCAAAGTAAATTGATTTTATTTGAATATATGTATATTATGTACAAACGTATTTATTTTATTAATACGTATTATGTGTATAAATATATTTATTTGCATTCATATTGTACAGTAGAATTTAAATAATAAGACTTCCAAAGAAATGGAATTTTTGTATAACATACCGAGGTTCTTTGTTAGGTATTTCTGCAGATTTCCCCATATAAATTAATTTTAAAGTAAAGTGGCTACCTACCCTACTAATTATGTACCTTAAAGTAATAATTACTAATTGTAAAATTATTCCCCTTATAAATGTACAATACTTAACGTAGATAAGTAAAACTAAACTAATTTATAGAGTTCAACATTGGTTGAACTTTCAAAGTAAAAAGGAATTAGATATATGTAAGCAGGTATAAATATAGGACTATTAATTAACACTTTGGGGCCAAATTGTTAGAAAATTCTAAAAACCGGAAAAATAATTTTAAATACTAGCTACTTGATTTCTTTTAACTCTGGTTTAATTATGTTTTATGATCAATTTTAATATGTGTGTATGGATAAGTAATTTGAAAAATTTTTTACAAAAGAGAACAATAATATGAACGTATTATTATTATGTAACTTTTACAATAAAACAAATGGTTGACTTGGTTCACAATTTATGTCAAAGATTGTTATTATTCATTTAACGTATACCGAGAAGTGGAAAAACTTTTAAAATTTTTATGCATATAAGTAGGTATATATATGTACATATATATATTTTTTTTTTGGGTAGACTTATGTATTTTAAAAATTATTGTCCTTCTGCTTGCTTTCTTACAAAAATAACAATATGTATTTTGTTTTGATTTTGAATTTCTGAAAGAGGTAAAGGAATTTTAGAAAACTTAAACTCAGATTTAGAGCGCATATTACAAAGATACAATTTGCATATTTTTCATTTGAGAAATTACATATTTCTCATTAAATAATTGTGTTTGCCTTCAATTTACAAAATAGTTATGTTTAAACAGTTTATATTAATGTGCAAGGCTTAAACGAACTTGTATTTTTACATATGTATATACATATGTTCCTTCTTACAAATGCATCTACTTTTCAACTTTTAAAAGAACACAATGCAAAGATCATTTGATATGCACAAAAAAAGCATTTAAAACAATAAAAAACAAAATAAAAATTCTAATACTTACTTCTTAATGAAAAATATTTATGTGTAATAATAAAAAATAATCCAAAAATAAATATTAGAAATAAACACAAATTTTGAAGTAATTTACTTCGACGAATACTTTCTTGAAACTGTTTTATATTTCCAAAGAGTGCTACACTACACTCATATTTTTTTTATTGTAGTAAAATTTAACACTGCTAATAAAACTTTTAACCCCGCCAACGCTTACTTTATTCTCCCTATTCCCCCCTGGCAGTACTTTTGTTTTCATTTCTGATTTTCCATTTCCAATTTGCCCACAATATTGTATCATCTATTCATTTAATTTCTAACGATCAGTATTCACAACCTTTGATGCATATGTACATACATATTTATTATTTTACACGAAACTCCATTCATGTAAGTATGCTGTGTAAAGTTAAAATTTAACATTGTAAATATCATTAAAATATGATTTCATTAAATTATGATTTTTTGATTGAAATAGTTTTTTGTTTTGAATATCATGTCACAAGTGCTTTAAAAAAATTAAAAAACTGAATCTATAAAATATTACTTTAAAAATTTATAATCATTGTTAAATAAAATAAAAATCAACCCAACAAAACGGATAATTAAAAACATTATACTTTGTTAACAAAAGTACTACACAGTTTAGCTATAACACAATGCCGTAGTTTATTTTAATATATGTACATACGTTGATGTATTCAAATTTTATTTAATTAGTAAATAAATGTAATAATGTAATTGTATATTGTGTTGATTTGTTGAATATTTTGTTTACATTTCAGTTTACAAGACGGCTTTTGCATTTCTGGCTGACATAAGACATTCGTTTCATTTCCCTTTTCAATAAGAAAGAAACACAACACAGTAAATAGTTTTTGCAAGGGGAATAAAACGTATATATGTCAAGCTTTGATGCAAGAGTCGTCGTTTGTGTAAATTTTTGCACCTCATCAGGGTTGTTACTTTTGAAATGATTGGTAATTTTTGAAAATAAAAACCATTACATATTTGTATTGAAATTAAGTCAATCTTTTTAAATCAAATTTACTTAAAAAATATACATATGTTTATCTAAAAACAACTATTACCGTAAAGATTAGTATGTACATATGTTAGCATTTACCAATGTAAGTATTATTCTTCTATTCCACTTTTTAGGTTTTGAATTTTAATTACGTTTCTTCCCCCTTTCCAACAATCTAACGTCTACTAACAAAACAAATTTTTCTCGTTCGTGTTTTTAATTTTAATCTGCTGGCATTGTAAATGTTGTTTTATATTAAAGGCATAAAAATTTAGCACCTTTTATTTAATGGTCATTTCTCTCCAAAGTCTTATTTAACATTACAAAAAAGAATCTAGTTTTTGAAGAAAAATGTAGAAAAAAGTGCTATTTAAAACTGTAAAATAAAAAAATGTAAGCTATAAATAATAAAAAAAGTTAATACTATAAGAAACACAATTTGAATAAAAATTTTACGTTCTACTAGAGAAAACTTGCGTAAACCGGATCAATTATTGGTTTTGTAAAATGCGATAATAACATATTTTAACAAATTGAAGTGGGATTATAAGAACCGATTTCTAAACGAGTAATATACAATATTAACGATTTCGAAATTATAAAGACTCTTTTTGTAATATTCTTTGTAAAATACAAATTACAGAAAAACTCTGTCAAATTCCTTTTTCATTTATTTCTTGAAGAAACTTTTGACTTTAAAAAAAAATTTTGAATTTTGAAAGCAAAACAAATAAATAAATTCAAAAAAAAATTTAAAATAATATAAGCATTATTTGTTTTCTGATCTTTAAGAAATAAGTCCCATGATACTTATTTTTGTAATAAAATAATATTCAGTGTACTACTACTATTTACTGAATACAATTATATCAAATATTTCTTTAGAATTGGGCAGTAATACAAACTTTTAGAAAAAAATAATTATTTTTGTTTCCCTCAAATCTATAAGTCTTTATTCATAGAAAAATGATGATCATATAACGTATTCATGGTCCACTCATCTTATTATTGTGGTCCAAGGTTTCTGCATTTGATAAGTATTACCCCGAAATTCCTGCGTGCTTCCTATAGATTATTATAGATAAGATAAATATGTATGCAAAAATTTTTTACATATGTATTTCTTTAGAAAGACGACTGATGGATTACCAAAATTTTGGAGCTGCCGTTTAAAATCAAACTTTTGACAACAATGGTGAATTTGGGTGAGTAAAAAATATCAAATTATGACAGTCACACATCTGTCTGTTTACAATATTCATGACATATGAGTCATTTTTCCAAATTACTATTTTTAATTGTGCATTGAAAGAAAAATCTATTTTATTGTTTATACCTTTTTTCTTATTGAATTATTTATTGTAAAAACTTGAAAATAATGAGTTTCTTTGGGAAAATGTTTGGTGGTAAGAAGGAAGAAGCTCCTTCTACTAGTGAAGCAATACAAAAGTTAAGGGAAACTGAAACTATGTTAGTGAAAAAACAGGAGTATTTAGAAAGCAGAATTGAACTAGAATTAGGCATTGCAAGGAAAAATGGAACAAAAAATAAGAGAGCCGCTCTTCAAGCTTTAAAGAGAAAGAAACGATATGAAAAACAACTTCAACAAATTGATGGAACTCTTTCTACCATAGAAATGCAACGAGAGGCTTTAGAAAGTGCTAATACCAACACAGCAGTCCTTACAACAATGAAAAATGCTGCAGATGCATTAAAAGCTGCTCATAAAAATATGGATGTAGATCAAGTACATGATATGATGGATGATATTGCAGAACAACAAGATGTCGCTAGAGAAATCTCCGATGCAATTTCAAATCCAGTTGCATTTGGACAAGATATAGATGATGAGGATTTAGAAAGAGAATTAGAAGAATTAGAACAAGAGGAATTGGATAAAGAATTACTTGGTGTTGGTGGTCCAAGTACTGAATTACCAGAAGTTCCAACTGAAGAAATTAAGTCAAAAGAAAAAGAGAAAGAAAAGAAAAAAGAGGTGGCTGCGCCTTCAGACCCCGATATGGACCCTGCTATGAAAGAATTAATGGCCTGGGCAGAATAATTGAGAAAATTGAATATTTTGTGTTATTTTGAATTTCGAAAAAGTGCAGTATATTTTAAAATAGATACTACGTTAATGTAATTTAAAAACAATAGAAATAAATGAAAATTTTCAATTTTTTCCAGGTAATCAAAAAGTGTATATACAAAACATTTTTAAACCAATAATTTAATTTAAAAAGTAAAATTAAAAGAACAGCTATGTTAAATACTGAAATTAAAAACATTGCTTAAAAAGTAATGCAAAAAATATAAACAATCACTCAGCGTTATCATTTAAATCTTAAAATATAAGTCAGGAATATATGTACATAAATTGATGCGTAGAAAAAGTCATTTAGTCTTCTCCAAAAATTGAAAAAAACAAAGCTATCAAAGTTTAAAACTTGTAGAATTTTAGTGCTTGTATTCTAAAACTGCTTTAAAAGGAAAGCTTGTACCAAAATTCAAAAATTTAGTGGCAGATTTTGAACAAACTCACTAATTAGGTAGTAGTTTTTTGATGTTTTAAATGACATCAGACAAAACAAAACATAAATGTATAGGCACCTACATTCATATGTACATGCTTAATATATACATATACTATATAAAATAAGCATGAATTACATACAATGTTTTTTTGTGTCGCGATTTTTACCTTGTCTAAATTACATAAACGCATGTACATACATATGTATGTTTGCAAAAGGAAAAGACTTAGCGATTTCTGAGTTATTTCTATAGAAATTAGAATTTAAAACATTTTTCTCTTATGCAAAAATTCTAATTCTTTAGCTTGAAAATTTTAAAATAATCCTATAAGGAGAAAAACAAATTAACTCCAAGACTGAAATTCGATTTTTTTTAATGTGCATATTTTGATTAAGTTATAATGTCAATGTTGCGGCAAACGAGTGACATCTGGATTTTTATGCAAGGGCACCACGGCTGATAGCAAAATGATATTTTTGTAATGTCAAGAGGTGTACATAAGAGGGTATGTACTATATGAGAACAAACAAAATACATAAATATAATGACGAAGGATTTTTTTACATACAGTATTACAGTAATAAATTTTAAATAATAATCCAATAAAAATTTAATAAATATTCTAAATCGCCGTTTTGCATTTTTTTGAACAGCGAGCTGTCAATCTCTTGTATAATACAAGTTGTATTACTAACAGATCGGTCTCAATTATTGTCAATTTACATACATATGTAAATATGTGTGTATTTTCAAAGGTATGCAAGCAAAAGCAGGATGTATAAGGGCAAACATATGTTTTTATTTTAAATCTAATAATTTATAAGCTAAGTTTAACAATTTTGTGTGAAACATAGTGGTTATGATTAAGCTTTCAAAGAAAAAACAAAAAATGCCACAAAAAAGAAAAAATTATACAGAAGATACAGTGCAATTAGCTTTGCAAGAAATTGAAAAAGGGGCTTCCTTAAGATCTATTTCTCTGAAATATAAAATCCCGAGAAGCACGCTTTCAAATCGTAATAGTGGGAAAACTAAATACCAAGCAAGACCAGGTCCAAAAGTTCTGAAATTGAGTGAAGAAAATGAAAAAAATTTAGTTGATTGGATATTGAAAACAAATGAATCTGGAGAGGAAGTTAAAAAGTCAATGATATCAAAGTATGCAAAAGATAATTTTAACTGTGACGTTAAATTTTCACATGGATGGTATCGAAGTTTTTTTCGAAGAAATCCTATGCTTGTAAATATTGTAAAACATGGTAAGTTTTGTGCAGAATATTAGATAACACTAGGGTGTATCCTTTTGAGATTAAGTACATATATGTATGTATTTTTATTACTTTTAGTACCCGCTGCACAACCTTATTATGGTATGGATGTAGAATTAGACTCTAGTTATATATTAAATGAAAACACGGAAAATAGTATTTTAAATACTGACAATTCAAGCAATGATTCGGAATGTAATATTGAGAATAAGAACTGGAAGTTTGAAAAGAACGAAAGCATTAAAGGTAGGTAGGTGGGTACCTACAAGCATCGGATTTAAATTATAGGAAGGCATGTGGGTACCTACAAGGTTTTAACATTTAAATTATAGGAAGGCATAGGATTTAAATTAATTTTTTTGCAGTTGGGCTTTGTTTTAGTTGTGCTGAAATAATTGAAGACCATGCTATTGAATCAGGTGTTAAATGTTATTCATGTTTAAGAACATATCATTTGAGCTGCGCTATAAAACAACACAAAGAAATAGATTTGCACAATTCAGGAGAAATTTTTGAATGTTTAATTTGCTGGAGAAGAAAAATTACAAAGGCATGATACCACTTTCATTACGAATCATCTTTGTATGGAAGATTAGTTTGTTTTAATTTAAGGTTCTTAATGGTTACATCTAAATAATAAAATTTAAGTAGGCAATAAGTAAACTTTTAAGAACTTTTGAACATGATTTCGCATTTTTTACTTAACCTATTTTAATTACATTTTGCCAATTCGCAGCTATTAAATCATAGTTCCTAAGTGATTTTATTTGACTGTATAATATCATTTAAAAAAAATTAATTAAAAATTAATTAATTTGATACTTTTACGGTAAAACATTCAATATGTATGAATACCAGGTGTAGTTATCTTAAAATTAAGCATGAATGAAAGATAATTTCAATTATGTTGTTTAAGCTATGTGCTAACACGTTCATTATCTCTATTTTATGTATGTACTTTTTATATTCAAAAATTTCTTATCCAAGGTTTTCATACATTTTTAACCAGGCGAGATATATTAGTTCATATAGATTTTGTAATTTAATGGTTAAAATTAAAATTTAGTGTCTTCGGATAATAAAATGTAGGTATATGTATATACATACTTCTAAACTTTAAAGATAATATTAAAGAAATTTTTGTAAGATATGCGATCTTTTAAATTTTTATGTGTGAGCGTTTGTGAATCTGACGCAGCTGTCTTTTAAATTAGGGTATAACAATTAGAATAAATTGTTCTACGTTGACTAAATAACTAAATTATGGATTTGGTTAAAATTGTTGTCGTTATTATTTAAAATAACATTTTATTTTAAGTCTTTTGAAAATGAAATTTATTTGTTTTAATGTCTTTGAATCATTCGCACTCGTCTCTTTACTTCTGGGCTTGATTCACCTTCACTAAAAGAATCCATAGATGGTCTTCTTAGCAACGGATTCAAAGGTGAACTAGCATGATATGAAAATGCTGGAACTGAACCCCTTCTTAATAATGGTAACGGTCTATAACCTTTAAATAAAGTTTAAATTAATTGATGAAGGTTATTAAAATTACAAGTATAATACCTGGACCATTTAAAGGACGTGATGAAACACCTGGTTCTATAGATAAACCTGATGCAACAGATTGACGTCTTTTCTCATCAAATTGTAATGATAAAATAGGTGTAATTTTTTGTGTATCTACTGATATTGATCGATGGTTTGCAAATTTAGCTTTTTTTTCGGAAAAAAATTGTTTTATAAATGTTTCGTATTTTTTTTTTTTGTTAATTCCATTATCATTTATTAAAACGAAAATTTTCTTTTAAAACATTCATTATAATGCAATATTTTCTGATAGGTATATGAAACTTACATAATTATTTGACAAATATACAATATATGTACACGACTTTACAAATTCAAATACTGTTCAATTTTAAGAAGTTCTAATATGATTAAAAACTTTGTATCTTAAAATTATTGTAAATAGTTTCATTTAATGTGACAAGTTTATTTATAATATGTAATAAGTTTGTAAATTTAATTATTTCAGTTATATTTCTTATTGAAGTTACATATGTACGTACACGTTGTCAATATAATTATTATTAAGAAGCAATATTGTAAAAAAGTGAGTCTTGAAAATAAAGTCTTGAAAAAAATTTCAAAGTCAATGTAATAATAAGAAGAAGCAATTTTAAACGTACAAAATTTATTTGAAATTGTAATGTCGTGTGTAAAATTTAAATTGATATTGGGCTTAAATAGAAAAAATATTACACATTTTATTATTTTTAAAAGGAAAGTTGACATATTATATTAAATTTACGGTTAAAAAGATTATATATATTAAAAATATATAAGAAAATTATGTACATGAATTGGAAAAAACTTTAAAATATTTTTAATGATAGAAAGAAGAATTGATTTTAAAATGATTTTACATTTTATATTGGTCGCTTTACTAAGTTTATTGGGGATTTCTTTTTAGGACCGAAGAGTTTTGAATTAAAGTAAAATGCAAAAGAAAAATGTTTATTCAAACTTTAGTTTTACTTTACAAAAGACAATATAAAAATCTTTCTAAAAATTATTTTTAAGGCGTAAGCGACCAATTTTTATTTTATAATTATGCAATATAGGAAAGAATGATGTAATTATCTTAACATATTTATGATTAAATGTCCTCAATATTTGATAATGCTGAAAAATGAATCATGTAGATGACATAGTTGGTAGGCACAGAACATTTGTAATGCTGCAGTATTCTTAAAAAATATATTGCAAGTTTTCAAAAATTAAAATACAAATAAAAAACAATAAAATATTAAGATTAAAACACATAATCATTTAGATAGACTTATAAAAATAAAAAGAAATAATTTAAATTACATTAAAAAAAATACAAAAAATATAAAAATTGAAAATGCAACTTATGCAGTTGAAATAGTTTATTACATATCATTACATATTTCTATTCATAATTTTCGGATCAGTATCTTTCATTTTACAATAAGTATTTTACATTCCTATTTTTAGTTTTTTTTTTTCAAATAATTTTTTAATTCTACGTAAGTTTAATTTTCACCTATTTATATTGTATTGAAATTGAAAAATAAATAAAAATCGCCAACATAAAATTAGGCAAGTACCTAATTTGGGTTTATATTTATATTAATTTCTATAAACATAAAAAAAATAAATAGCGGCATAACTAACATTTGTTTAGGAAAATCATTAAAAAAATTATGTATGTTATACAAGTTTCAACAGAAAATAATATTTGCTACATTTTCACAAAAAAATAACATTTATAATACAAAAAGCAAAAATTCCAAATTACTTTAATAAAGGTGATGGCACAAAATATTAACGTTGATTTTATTTTGATGTATTGCTATTTAATTTCCAATCTGAAATTGTTTAAAAAATAGTCAAATTTAAGGATATAAAATAAACACCTACATGAATATTTTTTTAAAAGGATCTATGTATCCTTTAATTCAAAAACTGTACCAATTTATTTGTGCTACATGCGCAACATACGCAGTTTATCCGAGTGAATTTTATTGTAATAAAGTGTCATTTTCGAATTAAATCAAGGTTTTTTTTTAAATATGTATACATATATTGAGGAATTTGAAGATTCCAAAAAATTATTCATTTTAAATTTTGTAAAATATAATCTATAGTCATTTTCTAAATGATTTTCCTAATACCTGTTAAGAAAATTTAAATTCTTGATTTGCCTTCTACGAACACATGTTTTTAGTTTAAGTCGAAATAAAAAATTTAACTATGTATGTATGTACATCTATTTCTGTGTTTTTCAATTATAATTAAAAAGAAATTAACTAAGAGCGCATTTTTTGCATTTTTCATTAAAAATCTAACAAATTTAATATTTTTAAATTTATTATATGGAGGTAAAATTTAGTTGTTAAAGAATATAAAATATATATGTATGTAGGTATATTTAAATAATGTAAATATTTTTAAGTAACAAACATAAGTATGTATTTAAAACATTTAGAGTTTATAAAATTCATATTTATAAAATAAATCTTACACTTTTGTACAAAGTTACAAAACAAGTTTCACAAACGTACTCGTAATATAAAATGATTAAAGAGGTAAACAGATCGATAAATACACAGATTAGTAAACAGAAGTACCTTTTGAATTTTTTCTTTCTGCATATTCTTGAAGGGAACATCGTCTACTACTATCATCCTTTTGTTTTGATTTCTAAGGAAAATAATTGTAAAGCATTATTTTAATTTTTTTTTTTGCGTTTAATAAAACCAAAATACTACAAATGAAAATCACTAAATAAAATATTTAAAATTTTAAATAAAATAATTTTAATACAATATAATAAATTAATACCCACTTGTTTAAAATGTTGAGTAATATCTGATGCTGATTTCATTAAGAAGTATATTAAAACTAATATAAATAAATAAATTATTGGTTCAGATGCGTTATGATTTTGTGATTGTTGTTGCTGCTGCTGCAATTTAACGTTGATTGAATCATAATTTGGCTTATGGTTTTCATTGGTATCATGTTCATTTCCTTGTTTTTCTATATAACCATTTATTCTATAAGGTTTTTTAATGTACTCTTTAAATGGCTTTACACCAAACACATACAAATTATAACATATTTTTTCATGTTCTTTGAGACGGTTAATTATTTCTTGTTGGCGTTTTATTTCTTCCTCTTGTGCACGTCTTTGTAGTTCTAATTTTTGTTCAATAATATCTGCTTTAATTTTTTGTTTCATTGCATCTTCCCTTAATTGCTTTAGATCTTTATCACGTTTAATAGATTTTCGACAAAAATTAAATGCTACAATAAATATGATAAACATTAAAAACATATAAATTTGTTTTTGATGACCTTGCATTTTAATAACTTTTCGCTGCTTATTTTTTATACGTTTCTTTTTCCAAGAATTTGAATTAAAAGTTTAAATATTATAGCAAATCATATGAATTTTTTAAGTCATCTTTAATCGCTTCTAAAAAAAACAACATTTTAATAATTTATTAATATAGTAGGTGGTGGATATTGTATAAAAGATTTTGCATACAAACTTAGTGGGATGTAACTAAAACAAAAAGGAATCAAAAAAGTACACAGCAAATTTACACAAAAAATCTGCTTCATATAAAAGATTTAAAATAGTTTTTGTTATTTCTTAAATTAATTTTTGAACGAATTTAAGCATACATCTGTAGTTATGTATGAATAAGTTCCAAATTATATGTAAACAAAAAATATACAAATAATTATTATTCCAGATTTTAAAAAAATGCACGATCTTATAGAACCAATAATATGCACATTAAATTTTATCGCGATTTACGAAGGGAAAATCGATAAAAACATTTTTTGTTATTTTCAGATTTTGTTTTCTTTGACTTTATCCAAAATAAGTTAATGGATCATTTTTCGATTGGAAAAAAAGAAAGGATAAGCAAAAAATTGTCAAATCAAAATCACTAATTGTTACTCACCTTATTTTTCCAACGTAAAAATTGTACTCTGAAGACATTTTCTTTTCTGTTAAATTACATACATACATACATATATGCATATGCACATATAAATAATTATTCAACTAGAATATTCACATAAAATTCAGTTATTAAATTTTGGGAATTCTAAAAATTCATTTACAAAATTTAAAGACAGAATTTCTAAATTTTTAGATACATGAAAATATGATTTATAAATTAACAATTAATTATATCTTCAAATAGCCAACTAAATGTAAAGTATATTTTACATTAAGGAGGTTTTCTATCTTAGGAGCTAATTTTGTTACTAATATGGAAAAGGAAATACCGAAATCAGAAATGAAACGATGTTTTGGATAGGCAAGAGGAAAACGGGAAAAAACGAAAATGTGTATATACAAAGAACATATGATTTTATTGTCGAAATAAAAGCATATGCGCACAACAAGATTTACAAATTGTTATCAGAATGTAAATTTTGTCGAAAAGAATAATAAACCAAGTATTGCAATATGGGAAAGTTGAAAATATATCTTAATAAGGAAGTAGATATGTGTCTACATAGGTACATATGTATGTATATACTAGCATCTCTTATGAACTTATTATATTTTATCACGAATATATTCAAAATAATTATAAGTACATATTTTGTACATACATATGTGAATCTTAATCATATTTAAGCTTTGTGTAAGTGAAAAAAAAGATATAATCCATAGTTGCTCATAAACCAAAACGAGATAACCAAATACATATGAGCGCTACATATTCTGTGGCTTGATTTGTACATACATATTTTGTGTCAAGTTTCAAGAAGAATATTTTATATTAAAATCATGTTTACTGAAATTGGAGAAACATGGGAAAACTTACTTTGTAAGTTACATCTTCCATTTTTAAATAAAAACACATTATTTTTATTAATTTATATCAAAATAATTACTTTTTACTTTCACTTACACATTTTTATATATTTTTTTGACAATTTTTCTTAATTTTTTTTATTAAAAAATGTTTTGTAGTTTACAATTTTTTTTTGTTTGTACTTTAATGGTAATAATCGTCTGGTACTTTCCAGCATAAACGTTTCCCACGTTCATAAACCTCTTTCAAGGCCCAGTTCAATTTATTTTCAGTTTGTAACTTCAAATAGTGCTTATATAGTTGTAAGCTGGTTCTGGCATCCTCCACTGAATCATGAGTTTCAGATTGGATTTTTGTTCCTAAAAGAAGAAATTATGTACTAGAAATGAAATTCAACTATGCATTATGTTGCCATTCAAGAATGTCTTCTAATCTCAAAAAAATATTTATATAGAAATAAGTGCACGTTAAATGTACAGATTCTATGTTTAAATATAATTGGATTAACATCAACACAAATTTTATATTTATGCATATATTATTTATAGTGTATTAAAATTTTTACAATATAATATGATAGCTGTTTAAAAGTAATAGGAAAATACTATTTTTATATTTTAGAGTATTTTCGTGTTATGTAAAAATAAAATTCGCAACGAAAATGTTCTTTAATTTCTTTAACTTTTTATGTTATATTTGCTAAGCATTTTTCAGTAAAAAATTAACGAAGCAAGTGTTTCTAGTAAGACTATTGCAAATATTAGTTTATCGTGTGTTAAGAAAAATTAAATAATGTTGCATACAAAATAATAAAAAAAAGTACTAATTTACCTAAAAAATGCCATGCTAAAAATCTCAATGATATCATTCGATGATGCGGTAAATGAAATAAATGCACTGTATCGATTATTTGTTCGGAGGGTACAATAATATTTATCACTCTACGATACAAAAAGAAATTTGTTTTATAAATATAAAAAAAAATTCATAGCAGTTACTAATATAATAAGAATATAATAAGAAACATAAAATTAAAGCCGACAATAACCTAAAGTCATTTTTCAGTCCGTGTCCAACAAATATCACACCACTATCAACTAAATACTTTAATTTTTGATATGAGTTTTTAAGAGTTGTTAAACGTTTATTACTAAAATTAGCATCTAAATCACCAGGTTGTATTCCAGAAAATTCGGTTAAATAATCGACAACTTGCTCCCGTGTTGATATATAATCATCAATAAAAGGTATCCCCTCATCAGGGCCTTGACTAAAAAAAAAAATAAATTTTAATAAGCATTGAAATAAACTTCAAAAATTTTTATACCCCCTTATGCAAGAAATGCGCGCTACGCTCATATGACAAGGTTTTATTGTCATTGTTGTACCGTCAGGACGTAACTCGTTTTCTTCTGCATTTAATGTTACAAATTCCGCATCCATTGCAACTAAATCACCCGGTTTCGGCATTTCATGTGCACTTAATCGTTTAAAAGTGTGTATTGTATGATGCAATGGAATTTGGTGGACCGGATTTAAAAGTTCCTATAACGATTTCAAGTAAAAGCAAATTATTTGAAATACCTACATTATTTTAATTAAGGCGATTTAAAAAAAATTATATTTACTTGTAGAAATGGATTGAAATATCGATTTTCTTTTTCTTCATCTACTTCGAGCACTTCTAAGCTTGAATAAATTAGAACACATGGAACTTTCCAATCTAACGTGTACCAAACTGATTCTTGGCAAGACACAGGAGATATACTGGTAATGAAATAGGAAAAATTATTTAAAAGTTCATATCTATTATTTCAAATGTTAATACCTAAAATCATTGAAGAGGTACCATTGATTGTTTGTATCATCACAGTTTCCTAATTTCATTTCGTGGTAGCTTTTTGGAACATTAATTAGTGCAACTAAATTTTTATGATTTCCATCGTCAATTTGACAAATAGCTGCCGATAATCGGTAATCTCTATGAGTATCATTTGCTAAAAAAAAAAATAAAAATATAAAATTATTTCTAATAAAAAGGTACTCATATCTCTATTTACAAATTACTGGATCAGTCAAATTTAATTCTTCTCTAAAACCAACAGTTGATGAATTGGATGCCTGCGACTATAATATTACAAATATTAATGTAGTAACATATAAATTTTTAGATTTATCTTAGGTTTTACCTCTGATATCTTGCTACTTCTTATTTCTGATCGAATCGCTAAATTTCCATTAATATCAACATCCATAGAAAACCCAAGAGGAAACCATGATTTCTGCTTTGTTTCGCATGTAGCACCGAAACCGTTGTTACTACTTGATGGTGAGTTTCTATTATAAAATATTATTAATGTTTAAACAAAAATTTAATCTTAAGCAAATTAACCTAAAAGGATGGCTAAAATGACAGTCAGCTCTATTACAGTTTACACCATATCGACATGGTTTAGTGGTAGTGAATTGTGTTGAATTTATGTTACTAGCGTTTACTATCCTACTTAGTTGCCATTTTAAGAATTCTATCTCTTTTTCATTAGAAAGACCACAATTTAGAGATAAAATTTTGGGAAGACTGGTTATCTAAAAAGTAGAATAAGATTTTAATATTTGTTATAAAGCATATTATAACAAATAGATTTAATAAACCTTAATAGATTGCTTTGTAGGAGTAAATTTTTTACATTTTTCGCAAAATGTTGGTAAAGTCTTTTCAGGACAAAGTGACGATTTTAAAATTTGTGCAAAAGTTAAGTATTCATTGTCTTTAGTGCCAATTGGGTAAACTAAGTTGCATACCATTAAAATATTTCGTTTAGGTTTCTAAAAAAATCATTCTTTAAGAAAATTTTCAAAATATTAAATTACGTAATACTTCTTCATTGCATTTAAGGCATCGATTCACACATCGTTGTCGAGTTCCAAACAAATTGCTTATGTCAGTGTCTTCATTTATCCTTGATTTTTCAGTTTCGTTCGAGCCAATATTATGTAAGGAGGTTTGCCCTAAAATATTATTAATCATAAAATATATAATAAAATCCCGCATTTTTAATCACCATTGTTGACATCGAGTGATTTAAAAATTTCTGCATAGTTAATTTCTCGAGAGTCCCAGCTCAGATTAGGGTTAATAAGTCGAGATTGATTTAACGCCAAAAAATATTCTATAAAAATTTGATGAAACAGACCTTATCAAAAAATAGGTGCAAAGAAAATATGTTCTATAGTTTACCCATTGCAAAGGCATTTGTTTGTTTGTTAAGGCGACCATTTTTCCAAGAATCTAAGATTTCGTAATGCATCTGATGTATTATAAATCTATTCCAATTCTAAAAAATAATTTAAATGCAGTCCAAGATTTTGCCTTAAAAATTTGATTGTATTACTTGAATTAAACTTGTAAGGTTTACATTTACAGCGCGATCTGTAACTATTAATCCCAATGCTGCAGCTTCATGGACCTTACGGAATGATCTCAAAAAATTGCTAGCTTGGCACGGGCTTGATGCTGGTACATATATTATGTATAAAATAAAAATGAAAATACATTCTTTTTCAATTTAATTTTGATCTGTTTTACCAGCAGATTTGTCTAACATGTTGAATAAAAAGCTGAGTTCACATGACAAACAGAATTCTTTCGAGCAGGAATGTTGCAAAATTTTTCTTCTAAGCGGTTTAATAAAATATAAGACCTGTAAGAATTAATATGTTAGCTTTTGTATTTTGATCTTGTTCTTTAGGTTTACTTGTAACATGGGATTACAATAAGAATTTGGTAAAGTTGCCTCTAAACCGGCGAAACAGGTCTGATTGTGAAGTTCAAAATCAAAATCTTGTGCTCCTAATTTGGAGTACTTAACTTCTACTTTTCTGTACCGCTTTGGAATAATTTTCATTCCGTTTGTTTCGGTAGAAACTGGTTGAATGTGTTCATTCCCGCTGGAGCCAGAAGCCTGCGCATTTTCACAGTAAGGAAGTTGAGGGCGTTTCGGACTCTGTTGCAAATTAAAATCAGTACTTTTGTTTTGATAATCAACATTTGGTAAACTTCCATTAGCAAACTGTTTGTATATATCAGATATTGCAGTTTCTGATTGATAGCTTTCTTCTAAATCTTGTCCAGGCAGTGAAGTCGATGAAAATGAATAAGAACTCGCTTCCTCAGTATTGATTTCTTCAGTGCTTGGAAGATCGTCTACAGGCTCTGCAAGTTCTGTTTGCCTTGAAAATGCGTTAAATTGAGGTTCGGGGGCATGCACTGAACAGATCATGTTGATATGACCATTGTCATTACCAAATGCAATTGCTTGACTTGTTGAACTAATATCAAAAGTCAAAGAGCTACCTGTTGTGTTCAACTGATATAGGCAGATTCTTGGAGAGCTTAATTCGACGGTTTCAACAAGTTGCATTTCGCCTTGCATGGATGTGATGGCTACTCTAGAATATTGCGATGGCAAAAATCGAAGCATTTGAGCATCAATCAATATTGGAATTGGTGAAACTAGTCTAAGCATTCTTAAATCAAATACCATCAGGAACCGATCCATAGATAAAATACCTTGACGATCACTAAAACCACATGAGACCAAATAATTTCCTTGTACATCAAAATCTGATAAACTTCCTGAGTGAGTTTTAATAGTATGTTGAACTTCTAAAGTCGTTAAATCACGTAATGTTATTGTACCATACGGTTCGCCAGCAAACAAATAGCGGCAATTTTTTCGTAGTACTGTACATCCGTTAGTCCCAGCATTAGACTGAAAAAGTAAAAGTGTAATAAAATATTCATTTGGAAAAATGAATTCCAAAAATTATTTTAATAACTATTAAACATCAATTAGATTATTTTTAAATTAATAAAATTTACCATAGATTTTTCTGTCACTGTTGGAACATCAAAGTCTATTATATCGTGTTGAAACCCACCCATTACAATTCTGGACGGTGATAATTGAAGCATACATATCATTTCGGTCATGTGAGCAGATCTTACATAAAAATGATTTTAATGTCGTAATATTTTAATAGTTTTTAATTTGATTGTAAAGTTACCTATGCGTGAATTTTAAGTTTCCACGTCTATGCCTATGACTTAAAGATGTTTGTGTCAAGGCTAAAACTCCAGTGTCTAAAAATTTTAAGTAAAAACATACAATGATGCGTGCAATTTGTATTATACATGTATAAAACCTTCTTACCTGTTGTGCCGATTTGCCTAACAATATCATTTGCATGAACTTGAAATGATGTGTATTTTTCCATAGATCCTCCATAATATGATGTAACACGACCCTAGAAACAAATTTGTTTTAGTTTATATTTATAAATTAAATTAATGCAAATTTTTAACTCCTTGATTTCCCGTCCACAATAGTTCCTCGTAATTGTCAAATTGTACAGTTGAGACTCCATAGCTTTCACCGCCATCAGCTAAAATTCCACCAAGCTCTTGATATTCAGCCTCTGTTGGTCCGATATTAAAAACGCGAAATGCTGGTGAATAATTTACTGTACGATTTGCAGAGTCATAAACATCTTTAATATATAATGAAAAAAATATTTAAATTAAAAATTTGGTTTTTGCGTAGGTTTAACAAATTTTCTATACAAGCAGATATACATACATAAATTCGTTGTCAACAAAGAAAATTTCTGAAAAATTGTTTCTTCAACTTTCTGAATAAAACTTACCATTTGTTGATATATAATTATCGGGAGGGCCATAGCCCTCCCCGCCAACATAACCATAGTCCATTTCTCATCCAATTTTGCCTGATTTTAATTAAAAAAATTCTTTTAAACATAGAAAAATAAACTTTATTTTCAGTGGACTTTTTTTCTTCGACGTCAACAAAAATATTATGACGTTTTCTTGATTTCCAGATGACAGTCAAATTCTTGAAGGTGAAATACTTTAGTATGAGTTTTGTTTGAAAGGGTATCAGACAATTCAAACCATTTGACAGATGTTCGAAATTGGTGGTTTGAAGGTGTTTGACGTTACTATGACATTTTGTATGAACACTTTCGGCAAAAAATACAAAAAGAATAACGATAAACCCATGTACTATTTCATATTCCTCACTCGCGCAAACAAATATGTAGTAAATGTAGACATGCACATATTACATTCATAGGTTTTTTGAAAACGATTACCCTTCATACATTTCTTACAAATAATTTATTTTTTTATTTTTCAAAAAGAGTACATGATGTATGTACACACCCATAAATATAAGAATGAAAAAAGCTCAAAATTTAATTTTGATAATTATAATATTGACAAAATTTTCTTCAATCGTAAAACGTCAATATATAGAAAATTTCAAAAATATAAAGTTATTAAAATTGAGGTGAAAAAAATATTGAAAGTTGTAAAAAAAGGCAGAAAGAACTAAATTTAAATACTTTTGTAAATTTGCTGTTATTTTAAAATACTTTCGTGTTGATTATTGGAAACCAGAACCTACTGTTTACTTTAGACGTTTTTTCCATTTTACCGATTCATAAATTTTTGTAGTATTCAAAGATTACATTATTCTCAATATTAAATTTTGTTCCTTTTTTAATTCTTGAAAGGAATTATTTAACAAATATAAAATTATTTATTACAGAAAATCATGAAATGATTATAATGCTTATTTATTGTTTTGACGAGTGAAAAACATGAATTGACAGAAAGATTTGTTGGGAAGAGGAATGAAATGTATGTCAGCTATTGATCTGAAATCTCGTAGTGTAAACACCACTAAATGTTTATAACAACGTCACATTGCATCAAACCGCCAATTTCAAAAACATATCAAACTTTTAAAAAGCAGAGTACTATTTATACAGATATACACATTGATCTAAGATTTAATATAGAGTACGATTTGCATATACAAAAAAATCTAAGATTAAATCTACTATAATATCTGATGACTATTTGTATATGAGACTGAAAAAATCTGATAAAGCTTACACTTTAAGTTAATGATTGAAAATTTTGCTGCGCAAATTATAGTCAACATAAAAATCAGCTGATCGCTGTTTTAAACTCTCATTAAAAATTAATTGTCGCCAAGTTACTTTTAAATATTTGATAGTTAATCTGATGAGACGTCGGCGGATTATTCAAATTTTTTATATTCATATATTCAATTTACGTTTAGTTTTGTTGTAAAATATAGTATATATGTATCTAAGTAATTAGAAATAAATAGAAGTAAAGTTTCGTTTACTATTTGACATGCAAGATGGTTCCGTTCTGTAAACGTGCTATGGTGGATGATTTCTTGGAGTTTTTTTAGGAAAAAAATCGTTTAAAGGGGAGATGGATAACTTGGAGTTTTAGGGGTAGTTGTGAAGGGTTAAAAAAATTAGATCGAAAAATTCTGTTTCCCGAGTATCTAACCCAGAAAATTTTTTCTCAATACACAATTGATAGACCGACAAGATATGCACATGGTTGCTGTCAAACTAACTGTTTTTGAGTTATAGTAAAGACATAATGTTACTTATTTTACGTATTTTTAAAGTCTTTGGCTATAGTGATTCAAAAATAAAATTTTGGGTTAAAAATCTGAAAATTTTTTAAAAACATTAATTGTTCCGTTTTGTAGCCAAAATGAAAATTTATGTAAATAATTTTTTTGATAATTGCATAAAAGATGATTGCATTAAAGAAATATACAAGAGTAAAGTCCTGCCTATAAGACTTTTTCTAAAAAACTAAAGATATTTTACACGAAGATGATTATTTCTCATGCTTGAAAAGTTTCTTTTATAATACTGTACCAAGAGAGAATTTAAAAGAGCTGTTAACATAGATATTAAAAATTATAGACATTTGCATCACGTATTATGTTCCAGGTTTGTCAGCCGTGGCCTTGATATTTGTTAACAGAATTTGTGTGGGAATCAATGTCAATGAAGAATTGGAATATTTTTTCATAGATTAGTTAAAGAAAAAAAAAAAATCAATTTATTTAATCAAAATATTTATGTAGCACACAAATATGGTAAAAATAAATAATATTTATGTATACATATATAAATTTTTAGATAGCTCTTAGGTTTAACCATCTGAGGTTAATCCTATCTTGGCTATTTCTTGTTTTTAATTGTATCGTTAAATTAACATTAATTCATTAATATTAACATTCATAGAAAACCCGAGAGAATATCATGACTTTTGTTTTACGCTGTTATACATTTCGCATGTAGCATCCGTTTCGCCATTGTTACTATTTGATGGTGAGTTTCTATTCTGAAAAACCCCGAGTTAGTCAAAATAAAACTTAGTGAACCCTTTTTTTTGCAGATACACCAATGAATAGTTTTGTGCAGTAATAAATGCATTTGGATTGAGAAAATGTTTCACAGGTAGGCTATATGTTATGGATATATTTATTAGTTATGTGATCGGCTGTAAATGAAATTGATACATTGTACAAACATAATATGTACTATGTACATATGTGAATTTTTTTATAATTTTAATAAACCATTGAGGTAAAATTTTTGTAAGTAATGGGTATCAAATTCAATTTCGCAAATCAAAAGTATTTCTTAATAAACTGAACTATACATATGTACTTAGTACATCGATAGTTATGTACACATGATACCTTTATTCACATCATTATTGAAATTTTGTAATTGATATACATATATAACTAGGTATGTACATTTGTATGAATGCAAATTATAACACAACTGTTTTCGTTTTAATACAAAAAGTAGTACTTTTTTTTTGATGTTTCTTTCAATTTATTGAGTTTAAAACTTTAAAATAAAACAAGGCGGTTACCAATTGTTTGTTTTTTTATTTTTAATCTTCATTTGAATAAAATATTATAATTTTAACTGAATATTATTTATTAACATTTTAGGAGATTAATTTGCATTTTATGTTAAAATTTTTTTTCTAAATATGAAATTTATTTTTTTCGATGCATATGATTAGTAATTAAATGCACTGTATGTTAATTAAATAATATAGGTAAATATGTATACATACATGTACAATAAATTAATGAAATATGTGTATTAGCATATAGGTATATATGTATATGTTATATTAAAAAATATATTTGCATTCTCACAACAGCTAATTAATAAGTACATGTTTTCTTCATATGTTCTAATTAATAAGTTTATGTTCTTATATATGGTGATAGAAAGGATTCAGACCAACAAAACACATTCTGGAACACTTGCGCTTTTCCCAGCTTCAGACACCGTACATACATATATGTATGTAGTTTTGTTATGAAAATAAAGCTTTTGATCCAATATTTTATATATGAATAGTTTAAGAACTAGTCTAAATTATATAGAATAGTTTAATAGGGTGATAGTTTAAGTGTTTAATTTTGGAAGACATCAAATCTTAACATTTGCATGTAATTTTAATTTCAATCCATAAATCAAAAAACTTTTATGTGTAACTATCATGATTGCAATTTGTAAGGTGTTCCCCTCATAATAATGGATACCAAATTATATACTATGTAGATTGAGCCAATTTAAAAAAAGCACGGAAAATCAAGTAATTACATTATTTTATATCAGAAATAATAAATACATGTGTACTGTATTAGTTCATAAAGAGATCTGAAAATTATGTATTACTTGATTTTGTATTTGATGTACTTTTGGAACACCAAGCATTCGAACTTTAAAAATCGATATTTTTCCTTTTTTTTAATCCGATGATTTCGTACTAATTTTTTTGAAACTTTTAAAATTTTTTTAAAGAAATTTGCAAATTACTTTAATTTAAGACATTAAACGTAAAAGAATCTTTTATAGTTCAGGCAGATATAGCAGAAAAACCTTTTCAATGTCTGGATTTTAAGGGCCCTAATAAAGTGTAATTTTTACATATAATGTAATTTTTCATAACTTGAAATAGAAACATTTTGGATCGCTTACTAATGCTTTTCTTTATTGATTATAACTGTGGCAATTTGTAAACGGAAAAAAAAATTTTAAAAAATAAAATTGAAAATTAAATATTCACACTTTTTAATTATTAATATTTTCTTTTTACAATTAAAAATGTCCCATATTTTTAAAAAAAGAGGCAAAAAAAGGAAACACGCAATATTTACAAACAAATGATTTCAGTGTGTGTTAACATTTTAATCCTTTATCTTTTTGACTTCATACGCTCCGTTTAATATTTTTAATTTTTCCGTTACCTAAATCTTATGATTCAACTTCTTATTTTATAGATAAGATTTAAAGTATAAAATGTTTTTGAACGAGTTGTTTGTGTGAGAGTTTCTGACACAAGTATACAAGTTATGTATTTATTATGTAATTATTAAATGTATTTGAAATTTGAGTTTTAATATTTTATTAGAAATATTTTGTTTTTGTCTAACAATTTGATATAGGCTAAAAATATAAAAAAATATAGTTGCTATAAAAAATATTTTCGAGCTATTTAGAACCTATAAATTTTATTGTAAGGAGATATTTTGAACTTTCATAAAATGAATTTATATTCAATTTTAATGCGTTCACATAAATCAAAAAAAAAATTGAATTCAAACATCAATTCAAGTTTCATATTTCAGTAATACAGATTTTAACTTAGATTCTACACCTTAAATAGGCTGATCATATTGTTCAAAGTGAAAACGGTACAAGGACGAAAAACCTTTTTTTTTTTTTTTTTTTTTTTTTTTGGGAAAAAAATTAAATACTTGCAGAAAAATATTTTGGTTGATAAATTTTTTACAGTACAGTAGGCAAAAAGAGCTTCACATGCTGCAATGTTATCACTTTCTTCATCGCCATGTCGTACAGCAAATGATGTAATTTTTTGAACCGAACTCAAAGTTTTCTCAGCAT